ATTCACTAGTTTATCTTTTTCATGAAGAGTGAGGTATGCCTTTTCCAAATGATGTTGGTTGGTAGGGTAGTGGTTCTCGTGAGCAGCACAGATGTACTTGAATGGTACAGCCTGGGTGATTTCTTCCTCCTCATCACTTGACTTGTCATCACTTTCTGCCCTATCACCTTGATCACCTCTTTCATTACCATATCCATCCTGAACAGGCTCAAGACCAGTCAACAACTCAAGTAAATCTCTTTCTACAAAATCATAACAAGAAAATTATTATTTCATGCACCGTAGTCTCTAAAATTAGCAATCTTACACAAAAGCACATGTAACCTCTAAATTCTTAATATACCTAACTGTGTTAGGTCTGTGTGTTAGAACAACACATAAACAATATTTAGATGAAAATTGAAAAATATTAAACTACAGTTTGCACATTTAAACAACCATGCACAACTAGATACAAACAGGCATTATACTCAGCAAAAATTTATAAAATACATACAAATAACAATACCTTCAGACTCATCTGAAAACCAATGTCCATCATCAATTGTATTCGCTGTCAATATATGATCCACACCGAAATCCAAAAGCATATGCTGGATGTTTTCATTAGCAAATTCATCACTCATCAGGAATAGGGTCAAACTAAAGGGTTGAATTTAATATTTGAAATATTACGCCATAATTATTTTATACAGTGTATTTATAAAATTACAGTACAATATTGAAAACAGCAAAGCGGAAATTTGAAACAAGTCAACTGTAGTGCATTTTAGGCAGGGACGCCGGAACTGGGGGGGCAGGGGGGGCGGCTGCCCCCCTTGCCTTTTGCTAGGGGGGGGGCAGGGGGGGCAGAAGTGCCCTTTTAGTTGTAAAATAATACGTGATAAATCACATTTCCAACGATGCTTTTTGTAGGAAAATCACGAGATTCAGGTAATTTATAGTTTATATTTATAAAATTTTGGGAAATTTTTGGAATTTAGAAAAATATTTTGAAGAAATGGCGAAAATTTAAGATATCCGGAAAATTTTTTGGCTTCACGGAAAATTTTTGTATGTCCGGAAAAAATTTTTGACCCCTAAAATGGCACACTGACCGAAATTTTTTTGGCGACGGGGGGTAGTGAAAAAAATTTTTCAGTAAAGGTGCCCTTGGTGTGGGTCCGCCCCCCTTTGCCCTATTATCGTTCCGGCGTCCCTGATTTTAGGATACCAACCTTAAATACTCGGCGCTTGTTTTCACGTTGATGATACACGGAGATTTCATCCAACTTTAACAGAAAAAAGAGCCTTGCTATTGGGAATATTAAAGACACAATTCCTTCGCGGATTATTTATAAAGCTATAAAAGACAGCACGTCCCATGCAATTTAATATAAGGTAAACTTGGTATAGTAACTCACATGTCATAATGAGGATCACAATAATACAGCAATAACATGCTATTTTCACGAAGTATTGCAGCCGGACAATCTTGTCTTTCGAATGCTTCCATATTTGTTTATTCAGAGAGATGTTCACTCCACGACAGTCAAAGAGTCATTGAAGCCACGCCTGGAATTAGGCGCTCAAACCCACGATGCTTTGCGGCCTGCTTGTCCGACCTCCTCTGAAGCAAAACAATCCCTTATATATGTTGGGGTGCCCCAAACCATTTCCAGGGCCCGCTGATCTATAGTTGGAACCATAGTTGGAAATGTCTGGACCGTCAATATTATAACATCCTTTCCCTAATAAGTTTTATAACATCCTTTCCCTAATAAGTTTATAACAAGTAAGTGCAGCAACTTTCAATAAACCTGTTTGGTTTCTTTATCAACCTCTGGGACCTTCGGATTGTCCGGGTTCGGGGGGTCCATAGGAATTGGATCTGGCATTAGATCTGGACTCGGCTTTGGTGCAGCCATTGCTTCAGGTTGAAGGTTATGATCGCCATCTAGGGACTGATATAATTACTCGCTGGGGCATGTGCCCAGGCGAGTATAGGTTTCGGCATGCATTTGTCACGGATCTCGGATAGTGGATAGTGGATCTCCAATCGTCGATAGCCACAAAACAGAATATTAATGAACTGCCTAATTTCACCCCCAATTATCCATAAGGCTCCTGCCAATTTTACCCAAATTATCCATAAATAACCCTGCATTTTGAGGAAAATTCGGGAAAATTGAACAATTTTACAAGGAATTTCGACATGGAAACAGCAACCTTCGACTTAGCTTGCGTGGCAGGCCCTCAAATTTATGGGGGGCCTGATTTGCAGCGGGCCCCCCATAAATTTGAGGGCCTGCCACGCAGGTTGCCTTCGACTGTGATCAGGGCGAAGGGAGAGAGGGCATGGAAACGCCAATACATCGAGCGTACCCATCCGTGATGCGGGCTTCGCGGGGGGTAAGACGCTCTAATTGTAAACAAATATGGCTACGCGTATATGACCCATCAGAAGGTATGCTGAAACTATTGCTTTATAAAATATTACTTGTGTAAAATTTATATGTTTTTGTTACTTTTAGCTATTATAAGAAACTTAAAGATAAGATTTAAGTAACCAAAAACTTTATTTCGGGTGTTATTTTATTTCTATACTCTGTTTAATTTGGTGTTTAAAAATGGCCGTCGAAATGTTGTAAGAGAGTGTTAGCGCGCACTGCTTCCTGATAAATACCCAATGATTTCCAAAACCTAAATTATAATTTTTTATTAAGTTATGATGAAAACCTTTGAGTAGACAAAATTATAGAGTGATCAAATATGAGACAGATAGGTTTTAAACCTTTCAAAGTTCGATGTCGAATTGACAGTTGAAATAGTACCAAACTCCAAGCTGAAATGTGCAACTTTATCGTGTATATTTTTGTCAATTTTGTTTACTGGCCTTTGTTAAATTCACTTGCAATGGCTCGACATAAGTTACAACATACAAACTGAGCAGAGCCCATGAAAAAGCTATCCATATCCCTACAGTCATTCAGCTTCCTTGCTATTTAGAAGTGCATGGTTGCCCATTAGTCGAAGAAGAATTGCTATTGTATGCGCTTGTTTGCACTTCCTTTCCTAAAAAAAGTCTACAATATTAAGGCTAAATAGCAGAAAAATATGACCCAATAATCCATGCAATTAAAAATATCTATCAAATTAACTTCAAAAATCATGATTTGAGGAATTATATCTATTCAGGCAACCCATAATTTAGTGACAGGTCTTGGCAAGGTGAAAGCTGAAAGGAACCCTTAAGATGGGTGTACTACAAAACTATATTGACTGAAGTTTTGGAAACATTTAACTAAATTTTGAAGGATTGACTCACAAACTGTGATTCAGTTTCATGGGATTTTACACTTTTCTGGAGAAGTTGTGGCTCTGTTAGTGCCATTTCTTTCATTGTTTATATATCTTGCTTTTAAGCATTGCTCACTTATAAATTAAATCTTTCAATTCCTTAATCTCATCCCATGATACTGAATCACAGTTTGTAAGGCCCTGTTTACATGAGACCAGGATGAAACCAAACTGGAATGAAAATTGAAATTGTCAACATGTTTACATGAGACCGGTATGGAAATCACAAAATTTTCAATTTATTCTCCTTGCCAGGCAATTTTCTTTTTTAGATGGCTTTTGTTAGCATGTGTTGTTCACTTGTTCCAATGTCAACATTCATTCCGGTCTGAATTCATGCTGGTCTGAAGTCAGTCGGCTTGGTCCAGCAGGTGGAATGACTTGAGACCTCATGTAAACGTCTATTATATATAATATTATGACCAAAACTAAATGGTCCCGGTTAATTGACTTCGTTCCAGTCTCATGTGAACGGGACTAATAAAATCCTTCAAAAGTTGGCTAAATTTTTCCAAAACTTCAGTCAATATAGTTTTGTAGTACACCCATCCCAAGATCTGTCACTAAATTATGGGTTGCCTGATAGATATAATTCCTCAAATCATGATTTTTGAAGTTAATTTGATAGATATTTTTAATTGCATGGATTATTGGGTCATATTTCTCTGCTATTTAGCCTTAATATTGTAGCCTTTTTCAGGAAAGGAAGTGCAAACAAGTGCATACAATAGCAATTCTTCAACTAGGAAGCTGAATGACTGTAGGGGTATGGATAGCTTTTTCATGGGCTCTGCTCAGTTTGTATGTTGTAACTTATGTCGAGCCATTGCAAGTGAATTTAACAAGGGCCAGTAAACAAAATTGACAAAAATATACACGATAAAGTTGCACATTTCAGCTTGGAGTTTGGTACTATTTCAACTGTCAATTCGACATCGAATTTTGAAAGGTTCAAAACCTATCTGTCTCATATTTGATCACTCTATAATTTTGTCTACGCAAAGGTTTTCATCATAACTTAATAACAAATTATAATTTAGGTTTTGGAATTCATTGGGTTTTTATCAGGAAGCAGTGCGCGCTTACACTCTCTTACAACATTTCGACGGCCATTTTTAAACACCAAATTAAACAGAGTATAGAAATAAAATAACACTCGAAATAAAGTTTTTGGTTCCTTACATCTTATCTTTAAGTTTCTTATAATAGCTAAAAGTAACAAAAACATATAAATTTTACGCAAGTAATATTTTATAAAGCAATAGTTTCAGCATACCTTCTGATGGGTCATATACGCGTAGCCATATTTGTTTACAATTAGAACGTCTTACCCCCCGCGAAGCCCGCATCACGGATGGGTCCGCTCGATGTATTGGCGTTTCCACGCCCTCTCTCCCTTCGCCCTGGTTGCAATCTCACTTCCACAATTGATTAGGTTCAGAATTTGAATCTCGCATGTGATTGGCCATTTGTAAAAATATGTCAAACCGGTTTGGGAAAACAACAAGCTAATTATAGCTATAAAAGCTATAATTAGGTTGTTGTTTTCCCAAACCAGTTTGACATATTTTTACAAATGGCCAATCACATGCGAGATTCAAATTCTGAACCTAATCAAATGTGGAAGTGAGATTTGCAACCGATGTGACCAGAGGCTCTTGTTTCTTTCGTCTCGCAAAGAGCCTCTGGAACCAGGGAACATAATGATAAGTTATGTTTAAATTATTCAAAAGGACGATAAGCACAAACTCCAGAAAGAGTTGCAATTTCCCATCACCTTGCCAAGTCCCTTTTCTCAGGTTCCCATTCACAAATTCTTCAATTTTCCGATTTCGAATTTCCAGAACAGCACTGAATAAATTATATAATCTAGAGAGCTGTACTCAGCGAGCGCTGCATGAGTACAGCTCTCTAGATTATATAATTTATTCAGTGCCGTTCTGGAAATTCGAAATAGGAAAATTGAACTAATACTAATACTTCGATGTGTGACATATATATGCTGCTATTTTATGGGTTGGGGGAGGAGGGGGGGGGGAGTTGTACAGTGATAAAATTTATTTAAAATAATCGGCCCACGGCATTTAAAATAATCGGCTTGCAATTATGCAAAACCTAATATCTATTTAGTTTCAGTGTTGAAAAATGGCCTCGGAGCATTCTGCACATTGTATTTGGCTCCCTCAGCAGTATTAATAAGGTATAATATATATAGTTACTGCTCAAACTGCTGTGAGCAGTATTAACTATATATATATTGCTTTTCCAAAAAAAATAGCTGAAAATCAGACGGAAGTAAATTATTTATGCAAATTACATTCATAACATAAACACGTGTATTAGTTCATTATAATAATGAATACTAAAACTTTTTCAATACTGAAATTATACTAAAACAACTATTCACCTCAGGCTCGGGGATAATACAAGCCTATATTCGGCTCAGTGAATATAGAGTGACTTGTAATCATCTCGCGTTTGGCGACTAATTGTTAAATACAGATCGATACAGGGATATTTTACAGCACTGACCAAACGGTGAAACCGTTAAAGATGCGGTACAGTCCGATCTGCGCATGTGCACAAAGGAGCCCTCTTTTTATTTATACAAACAGTTTATTCAGGTTTTTATTTCATTTTATGTTCTTGCAAAGCTTGATTGTTGTCTGTTGATAATTTATTATACTCTAGAATCATGAAAATATAAATAGTTGTCGAATAAAATTCATTATTTTGGATACCGAAATGTAAACAAAGCCCTTGTTTACATACGGACTGTACCGCACTTTAAATAATATATCGAATTTTCGTATTGTTTAATTTAGTCACGAATAAAGTGTGTCCAGCCTTCTGTTCGAATATTTTATTTTATGATCCAGTGTGTGGATCAAACGGCAAGACTTACCCCAATCTATGCAGCTTGCGGTTTGCTGATTGTGAATTTGAAAACGACAAAGAAATAACATTAAAACATAACGGATCATGCAAGAGTAAAGGTAACCATTTAAATTTAAAGGGGCACTGTCATCAAAATTTTTATTTTCTTAAACGAAAATGCTCTTAAACTGTACAATAACTTGTCTTGAAGATTTTTGTTCCCATGCTTGGTTCTTGAGATGGTTAGCACTATTTTCCATCCAGCAAACTGATCTAACGTCATTTTCGCAAGATAGAAGAAGTGTTAAATGGCTATGTAACTAACCAAAACCCTACCCCTACTCTAATCCCTAACCCTAACCTCAACCCTAACTCTAACCCTAACCCTAACCCTAACCCTAACCCTAACCCTAACCCTAACCGAATTAATAAAAAAAATCCAAAAAGAAACGACTTTACACAATCGATAGGGCGGTTTGCTGGATGGAAAAAAGTGCTAACCTCTTGAGATATTTCATTGTGTTTGTAACCAAGTGACGATTGTGACGTTATTTACTCAATTACATATATAATGAGATAGTATATCAGTAATAGTTGTGTATCTTTGCTATTTTTGATCAAAATCTTTCGAAAGATGCGGCGTGTTTGTTAATTTAACCTACATCGATCATTAAGCATACTGTTTTTTTAAACAAATCCATCAAAAATAGCAAAGATACACAACAATTACTGATATCTCATTAAATATATAATTGAGTCAATGACGTCACATGGTTACAAACAAAATGAAATATCTCAAGAACTAAGCATGGGAATAAAAATCTTCAAAACAAGTTATTATGCAGTTTTAAGAGCATTTTCGTTAAGAAAATAAAAATTTTGATGACAGTGCCCCTTTAAATTTAAAACATAAATGGAAATTTGAGACAAGATGATAATATTTCAATTCTTTATGCCTAATGTTTTAAAATATTAAAACAGGGTGTCAACAATTTTGTCCTACGATATACGCCCCCGTGTGTGGATCAGATGGAAAGACCTATGATAACAAGTGTTTCTTGGAAGTGGCTGACTGTGAAAGTGAAGAAAATATCACAAAAGTTCACGATGGTTCTTGCAGTGAGTAACTTTAATTTTCATGAAATTCTTATTTCCATTTATGATATGTAAATCGTCTCCCTTTTCACTGTCTTTTCCATGCCCTTCTATTCTCCTGATATATATCTGCATGTATATTGAAGAACCACCAGGCTCCATGCAGGATATACGTTCCAGTGTGCATGTGAACCAAAATCCCAATGAATGTTGTGCTGAAAAAAAACTGCTTATGAGTTCTTATATATATATATATATATATATATATATATATATATATATATATATATATATATATATATATATATATATATATATATATATATATATATACATATCCACCTCACTATTAGGTAAGAGGTTTGGCAAGGAAAACATCGGCCTTTATAGAGATGACGGTTTGGCTATTATAAAAAGCAAATTCGCCCATTTACTAGACAAAACTAGAAAAGAGTTACACAAAACTTTCGAGCAATTCGACCTGAAAATCACCGCCGAAGTAAATTTGAACGTTGTAAATTTTTTAGATGCTACTTTCGACCTGAACAACGCAAAACACAAACCATACAGGAAATCCAATGACGACCTACTGTACATCAACAGGCATTCAAATCATCCAACAAACGCATTGCACTTCTCTCATCGGACGAACAAACATTTAAAGAATCTACGCCTATTTACCAGAACGCCCTTAGACACAGTAACTTTGATCACGAATTTACGTACACTCAGGATGCATCTCAACGGACACGTAGGAATAGGCAACGCAACATAATTTGGTTCAACCCATCATTTAGTAGCTATAAGAGTGTTAACACGAACATAGGACGGGAATTCTTCAGTTTAATTGACAAACACTTTCCACTATACAGCACAAACTACACAAGATTTTCAACAGAAACACTTTAAAAATAAGCTATAGTTGCATGAACAACGTTAAGTCTATAATCACCAAACACAACGCACATATTATTAGGAACAGCCAGTTAAAGAATACGGAAACTGACATCTGAACTGCGACAACAAAAACACTTGCCCACTACCGAAACAATGTATGACCAACAACATTATTTACAAAGCCACAGTCACAACGAACAACACGAACGACACTATAAACACTACATTGGTATGACAGCGACTACATTTAAGGAACGTTAAGCGTTACGCTGACCACACTTCATCTTTTCGTCATAAAAAAGACTCAAACAAAACGGAACTTACGAAACATATTTGGAAATTAAAAGAAAACTATCAGGATTATACCATCAAATGGTCAATTTTAAACGACACGCTATTTCGTACACAGGGGGATCAAAACGCTGCAATTTATGTTTGCAAGCAAAATTTTGCATTTTGAAAGACATAAACAAAGACAATTTACTCAATAAAAGAAGCAAAATTTTCGGCAAGTGTCGTCACAAAAACCGGTTTCGAGTAAACAAGGTCGTTAACAAAATTTTATGACCCAAGCATTGTTTCGACTAACCACTGTTTCGCCTAAGTATCAATTGTTTCGCCTATATAAGCATTCGGTTTCGTCTACACGCATTCCGCGCATTCTTTCGACAGCATAAAAGCAACCTACATTTTCGAAATATTACTCACCACCTGATGATTCCTATACCAATGAAACAGACTGATATATATATATATATATATATATATATATATATATATAATTTCGCTTACCTCAAAATTCCGCAACAGTCTGTTTCATCAGTGAAGAATCATCAGGCGGTATGACAAGTTTCGAAAAATAGGACTGCTTATATGTGTTTTGGCCGGAACGTGGGGGTGTGTGGGTGAAACAAAGCATGCATTCATCTATTATTTGCGTTGTTTACGCGGAAATGTCTAATCAAATTGTGGGAGTGTATTGTTTGCGTTGTTTACGCGAAATTTCTTCCTATGTCTGCACGTAGATATAATTTCGATTCTTTTATTGAGTAAACGGTTTTGGTTTTCTTTCAAAATACAAAATTTTTCCTCTAAACATAAATTACATCGTTTTGATCCTCCCGTATACGAAATAGCGCGTTTCAAAATTTGCCAATTGATATTAAAATCTTTCTTGCTATCTTTCAATGTCCAAATATATTTCGAAAGTTCAGTTTTGTTTGAGTACTCTTTATGCTCGAAAGTATAGTTATGGTTAGCCAAACGCTCTTTAAATGCAGTTGATGTCATGCCAATATAATTCATGATCGTGTTAGGGTTGCTTGTTGTGACTGTTGCTTTGTATACTATGTCCTTAGTCATGCATTGTTTCTGAAGTGGGCATATTGCGTTCTTCGAACAACTGCAATTGACAGTGCCCTTGCCCTGTGCCTTGTTCTTCCTAGCTATATGTGCATTGTGCTTAGTGATTATAGACTTAACATTCAGCTATAACTTACTTTTACTGTATTTCTGTTGAAGATCTTATGCAGCTTGTGGTGCGAAGGAAAGTGCTTGTCGATAAGGTTAAGAAAATTACGCCCTATATTAGTGCTGACATTCATGCTAAATGGTGGGTTGAACCAAATGATATTACGTTGCCTATTTCTGCGTGCTTGCTGTGGTGCGTGTTGAGTGTAGTTAAGATCATGATTAAAGTTGCTATGGTCAAGTGCGTTTTGGTATGCTGGTGCAGATTCCATAAATGTTTGTTCATCTGATGAAAGCATTGCGATGCGCTTGTTAACTGATGTAGGAAGCTGCCTTATAATGCTAGGTGGATGGTTAGAGTACCTATTTATGTATAGCGGATCGTCATTGGGCTTTCTATAGGGCCTATATTTTCCGTTGTTAAGATTGAAAGTTACATCTAAAAAGTTTACTATGCGTAAATTTGATTCGGCGGTGATTTTTAGGTCAAACAGCTCGAAAATTTTGTGGAGTTCTTTCCTTGTTTTGTCTGCTAAACGTGCCGATTTACTTTTTATAAGGGCCAAACCGTCGTCTTTATATAGGCCGATGCTTTCTTTGCCAAACTTCTTACTTAGGTGATTTAGGATGAAAAGGCCAACTAATTCACATATTTCAGCGCCATCGTGGCTGCCCATGGTAACGTCAAACAAACCTTCACTATCTTTTTTAGTCCATGGTTTTCCGGTGTTGAAAAGCAGAGATTTTCTGGCGTGTTTTATGATCAAAATATCATTATCCGAAATGGTAGTTAAATTAGAAGCCCAAGATAATGCTTGGTCCAAAAGCTTTTCCGAAATGGATGGGTAAAAATCAACGATATCAAACGAAATAAAACTATGTCTTTCTTTGTCTTTTATATTTCCAAACCATTCAATTACTTGTTTTGTATTCCTCCACTGGTTCAAATTCAGTTTTTGTCTCAAATTGGAGTTAATTTCATCTAAAATAATTTTGCTCAATTTTCCTGATTCGTTTTTAGCGGGATTAATTAGCCGACATTTTGGATTGTTCTCGAAATTTTCTTTGTGGTCTTTTAAAGATATAAATGCTTCACGTTTTTTCATTTTTTTAATTCTGTCGCCGATTCCTAAATTGTTCGAAATGTCTTTTAATTCAGAGTCAATTTCGTCTATAGTGTCCTCGGATCCATGTTTATATGTTTTTGTAATGTTGTCATGTAAGAGCTTGTTGTATGTGTCGAGCGAGGCTTCATAAATATTTCTAGTTTTGTCTGCAAAAATGAAAATGTTGGGAGATGAATTAATTTTCTTCAAATCGTTAGCCAAAGATTTCTGAAAACGGTTTTTCCCTGATCGAAATTGTATATTTTCGATGAGTTTTATAAGGTCGGTTTCGAAAGGTTTCATTTCCGGAATCGAAGAAGGTGTTTTGTTGGACGCAAGGCCGAAATGGTTGTTTTGGTTCTTGTTTATACTGTTTTTATTAAAGAAATGAGCTTTCCATCTCATACGTTTTATTACACTTTCCACTTTTTCAATCAAATTCTTCAAATAAGCGTCCTGCGATGGTATAGGAATATTCTTTAATGAATAGTCAAATCGAAATTGTCGCATTATGAAGTTAGTAAGAAATGAGAAACGTAAACTAGAGTGCTCAACCGATATACGGGTGCGAATGTACGAGTAGGTTTGTGTATACGAAACGCAAAGAGTGCTCAATATCATAAAGATAGAGCAAATGAAGCTAGCAAGAAAGATTTTAATATCAATTGGCAAATTTTGAAACGCGCTATTTCGTATACGGGAGGATCAAAACGATGTAATTTATGTTTAGAGGAAACATTTTGTATTTTGAAAGAAAACCAAAACCGTTTACTCAATAAAAGAATCGAAATTATATCTACGTGCAGACATAGGAAGAAATTTCGCGTAAACAACGCAAACAATACACTCCCACA